CCCCCCTGTTTATGCTCTCTGTATGTGTGTATATATATCTCCTCAATATATGTTCCATTCTATATGCATCCGAAGAAGTGGGCTGTAGTCCACGAAAGCTTATGCTCTAATAAATTTGTTAGTCTCTAAGGTGCCACAAGTACTCCTGTTCTTCTTTATACTTATTTTTGTTCTCTTCAAAATTCAATCGCAGAGATCTGAAAACAGATCACTGATCTATTCCACCGTTCACATTAATGATATGCTTGATATCGTAAAACATAAGACATTTTGTTGCGACGAGTGACTGCTGTGATGACAAGATAGACAAGCCATTGTGGTAAATCATTACTTCATAAATAAGATTCATAACTGGCAAAGTAATGTCAGTAAAGAAAATGCTGAGCTCCTCTCTCAATATTTCCCCCTGCTATAGTTTCATCAAAGGATATGGCCTCCTTGTGGATCAAGTGTCACTGGAATCGATCTCTGACTAGAAACTTAAGGAGGACATCAAAAAACAGACCACCTTAAGGCCCACATGATAGCTGACTGTGTAGTACGCCCACTTCAGAATTTGTTGCTCTTCCATTCTAATAATATGTCCATACAAGAAAGCTGCTGAAACTGAACCAGTGCTGGGTTTCTTGGTTCAGCATTGAATATCCTCATTTCTGATCTTGTCCTGCAATTTGATATGGAGCAGCTGATGAAGACAATGAGAACTGAAAACCTTTATCCAGTGTTCTTCAGCTTTTCTCAGTGCCCATGTTTCACTTCCATACAAAAGAGTTGGTATAAACATGGTTCTATAGATCTGCAGCTTTGTAGCAAACTTGATGTCATGACCATCGTAGAGAGACCACTGGGTAAACTAAGGCACTCACAGGCCCAAAACTTGGCAGCAGCTGCTGCTATACAAGTGTCCACAGCTTTTGAGTATCATCCAATACAGTCTGAGGCTGCCTAGATACTTAACAATTGCCACCTGCTCAATGTCCCATCTGGACGGGTTAATCCTGACCTGGTTGTAATCTGGAGCTCAAGGCTGCTTGATGATAATGCCAGGGACTTAGTTTTATCTGGATTATTAACCAAACCAATGTGCACTGCTTCTTGCCCAACCAGATCAGACATCAATGCAGCAATTCATCAAACTGATCAAAAAAAAAAACAACCAAAAAAACCCAGAAAGTCATTGGCGTACTTGAGATCTAAAAGCAGAATGTTCAGCTCAGCCCCCCAACTGCTGCCTTTTCAAGCTTATCCATCAGCTCATCAGTGCCAATACTGAACAACGATGGTGACAGAATGCAACCTTGCTGAACTCCTGTGGAGATGGGAAACCATGCCGTGTATCTACCGTTGACTAAATCACAGCTTTCCATTCCATTATAGAGCTTTTCTGTCAATGACACTATCTTCCCTGGGATGCTGAGTCACCTTATCAGATCCCATAAACTCGCTCAATGCACTGAATCAAAGGCTTGATGGAAGTCTAGAAAAAGTGCTCTAACTACAGTTATAACTACATTTTAAGGGACTTTTATCTATTTCTAGAAACAAGATAAAATGTACCACAGTAAGATTTATGGCAGTGTTTTGATGCTGACTGTAATTTTACGTAAATATATTACCGTGATTGATGCAGTAGAACCAGACTAGTACTGCAAGGAGATCATTGCAAATAAATATATATGGAAAAAGTAGTACAGAATTTTAGAACTGTTAGGGTATGTCTACACTACGGGATTAATCCGAATTTATATAATTCGAATTTTGGAAACAGATTGTATAAAGTCGAATGTATGCGGCCATACTAAGCACATTAATTCGGCGGTGTGCGTCGATCTCCGGAGCGTTGCATTGTGGGTAGCTATCCCATAGCTATCCCATAGTTCCCGCAGTCTCCTCCACCCATTGGAATTCTGGGTTGAGATCCCAATGCCTGATGGGGCCAAAAACATTGTCCCGGGTGGTTCTGGGTACATCCTCCCCCCATCCAGGGAAGCAACGGCAGACAACCGTTTCGCGCCTTTTTCCTGGGTGAACAGTGCAGACGCCATACCACGGCAAGCATGGAGCCCGCTCAGCTCAAG